TCTTTTCTTTCAAGAGGGTACATCTCTGAACTTGTATAGACCTAGTGACACTCAATTTACTAGGCTTTTGTTGCCCTAAAATTATTGKTCTCTGGAGTGAAAAACAATGAAATCAGAAGTGAGTAAATTGTCTAGCGTAGTCYCCTTCTTAGCCACAGACTATGTTCTAAAGGTCTCAGTGGATGTCTGAAGTTTCCTTATGTACAGAATCCTATATAAGCTATATTTTCCTATCTACAGATTCAGGGTGACCAGCTGCATTGTCTATTATTAATAGGATTTTAAATTATATTCCTTTATTTTTTCAAATAGTTTTGCAGTTCTGGAAAAAATATATCTATAAAGTTTATACAAAGTTTTACATATACYTATAACTAGCTAACCATAATTTAAGCAGAACAAGTATTGCAATATACTTTAATAAAATACACTTTAATAAAAGTTATGTGAATATGGGTTCTCTTGCTCTCTCAAAATACCTTATTGTACTGTACTTGCCCTTCTTGTAAAGAGGTGAGATGGCACAATGCCTAGGTCATGAGATGAAGTGTGGTGAATGATGCAGGCACTGTGACAGCCTTAGGCTACTCTTGACCTTATGATGTGTCCAAAGGAAGGTCATCTGTTTCCACTGATCYTGGATTGTCAAGCCCTAGACAATGTCAATGGTTGATGACAGGCATAGACAATTGTGGTSGTTGGGAATCCTTCACACAGTTGAAGAATTTTTGCAAAGTTGTTTCAAAGAACACTGTAATCAGAACTTCTTTTTTTTTTAAATATCAAATATTAGTGTGGAGGTGTAAGTCCTTCAGTGATCACAGAGATGATTATGCTATATTACATCAAAATATTTTGTTCCATAATGTTTTCCTTTAATGTCTGTTTAATTTTAAATAATTAAGCCGATTTTTGTAATATCCACATTATGGGTTTTGCTTCAGCTGCTGCTGCTGCTGCTGCTGCTGCTCCTCCTCCTCCTCCTCCTCCTCCTCCTCCTCCTCCTCATTCTTCTTGCTTTTCTCTGTCCCTTCTTCCTTCTCCTCCCTTTCCTCTGTAAATAACAAGTTCTTCTGATTCCTCATCTGTTAACCCTTCAATTTATTCTTAAACTTCTTCATCAGGTTTATTAGCAAATTCTTCTTCAGCAATATGTCTTTTCTGAATACTTTTCTAATTTCTCTATCCATGCCTAGAAACCTTTGAAACCACTCATGATTTTGCTTTGTAAGTATTTCCAGAAGGTATTTACAGTTTCTAGATTTAATTCACTTATTACATCTTATATGAGTGGTATTGCATCAGCAATAGTGAATGATTTTCAGCACTGCATTATGTCCAGATTAGGGTCTTCATCAAATGCTGATCAAATATTTTCAAATTTCAGGTGTGTGTGTGTGTGTGTGTGTGTGTGTGTGTGTGTGTGTGACAGATCAGATAATGCCCTGGTATATGTGGCTGAGGCAGTCAGGTTGTACTTGGAGATAAATATCCACCCTCAGAATTTTCATCTTCATAGCAAACAGATTCGGGATGACCAGGTGCATTGTCTATCATTATGAGAATTTTAAATTCCAATTCTTTCTCTTCCAAATAGTTTTTCACTTCTGGAATAAAGCATCGATGGAACCATTACACATAAGATTTCTGTCATCCATGCTTTCTCCTTAAATGGCAAGAATATGCACAGCAATTTTTTTTTGTTTGAGAGCTTGTGGATTCTAYACTCTGTACACTGTGTTTGGCTTTACCATACATCCTGAAGCATTGGCACATAGCACCAGAGTTAATCTCTTTTCTATTTTTTATGCCTGCTGTCTCCTGTGCACTTTATTAAATATAGGTCCCTTTGGGCAGCTTTTTCCAGAAGAGCTCAGTTTCATCACAATTGAAGGCATGCTTTGGATGCCTCCTTAATCAACTTATTCAAGTCTGCCAGAAATRTGGCAACAGCATCTACATTGGCAGATGCAGCCTCTCCAGTAATTTTATATTTATTAATCCAAACCTGCTTCTAAATCTGTGTAACCATCCCCTACTTGCAATAAATGACTTGGACTCTCATTTCAGGGGATCCCTTGATGAATTCTTTGTATAAGATAATGCTTTATGGTATAAAATGATACTCACAGTTGGAACATATTTTCTGTTCATGTCTTTGTTTATTTAGTTTTTTTATGTGGTGCTGGGGATCAAACCCAGTGTCTCATGCATGCTAGGCAAGGGCTCTACCACTGAGSCACAATCCCAGCCCYTCTATTTGTCTAATACCCAGAAATGAATAACTTTTTCCATCTTAACTAAGCACTTRCCATGTGTTGTGGTCGTAACTTTTATATAATTTGAAGTGTGATTGCAAAACTAGCATAAGTTTACTTTTATTTCTTCACAATTTCACTGGTAAATATTTTACCATAGATATTTTCAACCTCAGCAGATGATTTTTTTCCATTATTAAGCTGAGAACTTTAACTTTTTCACTTTAAAGAAGTTTTTTACATCTTCTCTTTGCCATACTCAGGTCACAAATGTCTCTATTCTTGTACTTTGGTGCCATTATTGAGAGAAATAAGGATAACTTGAACATAAGCATTGTGGTACTGTAACAGTCAATCTGATAGCTGAGATAGCTTACTAAGTTACTAATAGCTGGGCAGTGTATACATCATGGATRTACTGAACAGATGGATGATTCATGTCCCAAGGAGGACAGAGAAAGATGATAAAAGATGTTATCATGTTTTTCAAATGGTGTGTAATTTAAATCTTATGAATTGTTGATTTCTGGAATTTTCCATTTTATGTTTTCTGACTATGGTTACCTTCAATTGACTTGAAACAAACTAGCGAAAGGAAAAAAGAAGTAGAAGTACTGTAATCTCATTTAACTTTATTATGAAGTAATTTTTTCAATAGTTTAGTGGTTTTACCTTCCTCTAAACTGTGTCCACCATGATCTTCATAATTATCAGCATTAGAATATTTAATTCACTCCCTTTTAAATCTTTTCAAATTGTATAATTAACATAATTGTGTTCTTATTTTACTGTGTGACTTTGATATGAGTGGGTACATCCACCTGGGGGTGAGTACATCCACCTGGGGGAGGGTGAACTCTCTGACCTGCTAAGGCCTGCTTTTTTGGACTGTTTTTATCATAAGATAGAAAATATTTTCTGTCCCCACAAACTGACTCCTTCTCTCATATATCTGATCTCAGAGAACAGTATAATTATTTTTTTATTACTCTGTTCGTCATTTTTAACTCACCCCTATTTCATTAGAAGACATTTTCTTTGGTCTTTATCTTCTTTTCATGTACACTGAACTCTATAGACTAAGATTCCTGGTCCCTCTACATCCTTATGTCCATTTTTTCCAAAAGGAAGAAAGAGTAACAATGGATGTGTGAATTTGCAAACAGAAACCACGTGCATTYCTGGTTCCTCATTTGTCTTTTCTTTTTGGTGCTAACTAGTTATAGGAAGTATGAGATCTGGTTAAATCGTCTGTTCTGTCAATCTACACAGAGAGGCTAGAACTTAAGAGAGTTTGTTTATTTCTGGGTTTCTATTTGGCTATTGATACAGATCATGAATATTACATTCGTGTGTAAAAATTGATATGTTGATCTGTTAATCTGCTACCACTCTCAGTTCTGAATTGCTTCAGAAATTGGGTTACGAAATAAAGTACTACATGGTGGACTTTTCTCAAACTTCTAACCCAAATCCCAAATTCTATAAGTACTGAATGTTACTATASCTTGGATCTTTGCTCTCACCTCTAAACCATCTCTGTTTTGGTTTATTAGTTGCCAAAAGGAAAGAAATCATATAATTGTTCTAGGTTCCCCATGTCAGAGCTACCTCCAACACATCCTCCGTACTAACACCAGAAAAAGATATTTCTTAAAATAAAAATTTGGTATCTTGGTGTTTCTCCACAGTCCCTTGAGTTATTACATAATCCCAAATTGGTCTCACCTGACTATTTTGACCTGGTATACCAGGTCAAAACAGTCAATCATATATACTCTCATATCACAAGATATCCTCAAGCCAAATTCTATCAATATTAAGAACCAACAGGTCTTAATTTTTTTTCTCATTGCCATAAAGACCTTGTATCATTACTCATCTAGGTAGGTAAACTTATTTTGTTAGTTTAGGTACTATCTTGCCAAGAAATCTTAATCCCATCTGATACATGCTTTTCCTCTGCATTCTTTTAATACACTGATAATCTTTACATTTGTTCATTAATTCTGTGTTATTCATCCATTCATCTTTCCTCCACCCATCTGTTCACTTGCTAATGATAGTATGACTACCAAATACAATAGTCTAAGAATTGTGCTGTGTATATACAAAGGTGAAAGAAAAGATGTCATTCTTGCTTCAATAGAATTATAACTTGTGTCAAAAGTTATCACATAGAACAGTAATGAAAATTATATTTGACTATTTTGTTCACTGTTCAAAAAWTTTTCTTATGGCAGAGATGGCATTTTGGATTTAGATTTGGGACATCCATTATGTGCTTGACACAGAGATGTTACACATGCATATTAAACAATTTCATGTATAAAAAATCAACTTTTATAAATATTTTCCAACTTCCATAATTTCAGAAGTGATAAACTTAGTTGTTCCAAATATATAGATGAAGACTTCTGGTTCAGGTTTATTCTGCAAAGTTGAGTCTTGTGAGAATATTGGGAATAAAGATGAGGAGATGTTAAATTCATTGCAGCAGTGGAAGAACAAAGTTTATTTACCTAGTGGATTAGAAGGTTTATCCAGACCTTGGTTCTGCTTCTCAATACCAGCATCTAAAACTCTCTTGGTTCCCATTGATCTTCTATGCCATGTCTTTGGGGATCCCATTTATTTGGACTGCTCTGAACTCTTTTTCCATGTATTTGGAAATCTTCATTGTGTAAACTCTTTAAAGAAATAGAAGAACACCTAAGTAATTCACCTGTATTATTTCTTAAGGTAATTTGCCTGTGGACATTCCATCTCCACCAGAAACTTCTGTGCCAGTAACATTACCTCCAAACAACTGCACAGACAATGAATTTGTCTGTAGGTCTGATGGTCACTGTGTTGAAAAGATTCAGAAATGTGATTTTAGATATGACTGCCCTGACAAATCAGATGAATTATCRTGTGGTAAGTGAATCACTAAATTTTGTATTGATTGTAGCCATAAAGTAGATAAGAAAATGCTAGTATAATCTTAGGTAGTACAGTCTAATGTCATAAAAATTTCCAGCATRGCTCAGCATACTTCTTAGTGTGAGATCTACTAATATAAAGTTAAAAGTAGAAGAATCGGCATGCATTTTTCTAGTAGGCCCCCAACAGGAAAGTGTCTTTAGATTAATGTTTTGTATTCAAAACTATTTTTTTTAACTATACTTGACTCAGAGATTACCATTTACTACCTGTTCTTTATCCATTCCCCTTTTTGTATCTACTCCTAACACCATTAAATATGGACTATTTAGAGAAGCAGCRTTACAACACCTCAAATTAGATTCATTCATTCAAATTTGGCCATTGCCAAAATGCACATATAACAGTGAACACTGTATCAAATATGTAGATGTCATAAGGAAAACAATTTTAGTACAGATGGGACATATACTTAAGTATCTAAATGATGGAAGTAGTGCAGTCACTGTTAATGACAAAGATGGAGTGCACTTCGGGTTTTCTATAGTACACATAGGAATTCATTGAATTGATTTTTTTTACTCTAGCAACAGAATTTAAGATAGATAGATGTGTGCTCACAGAGAGAGAGAAAAAAAAGTTTGTAAGAATTTAAAAAACATTCTTGTATAAAACTCGTACAACCAAAAAATTCACTGGGCTTATAATTTCCTGTGTTATTAGAATACAATCATTATAAGAAACTTAAAAAAAAACTTTTAAGGAAACAAAGCAATATCAAACATTGTGAATCATATTGCCTTGAACTTATGTGGCTTGGAATTTTCAATAACCTCTCTAGAGAGAGAACTAAAATTTTGCTCTTCAATATTACTGTACAAAGTAGAATATACTTGTCAAAGCTGGAAAGTCATAAGATTGGCAATGCTTCTGTTGCTGCCAGCAACTACTTAACATCTCTGCATAAGAGAAGATTATTAGCAAATGAAGTTATTCTCATATTTCTATTACTATCAAGTCTTGAATAGAATAAACCTAGATATTTTTGAAACTCTCCTAGTGATTATGCAAACCACTTGCTAATTATTTTAATTGTTCTTAGGATTTAGATTATTATTTTAAAAGCCAAAAGTTAGAAAGTGCTGTATATGTAGGAATTGCTATTTATTAACCTATTTATTGTGACTCACTTTTCTCTTTGTTTTACTCTATCCAAGTTATGGAAGTTTGCACATTTGAGAAAAAAACCTTGTGTAAATGGTATCTGCCATTCCAAGAAAATTTACACCACGATTCAAACATATTCAGGTGGGGACTTGGTAATGGAAAAAGTATTCATCATGGGGAAGAAGACCACCGGCCATCAGTAGATCATACAAAGTAAGTAACCCCATATTTTTTAACCTATTTTGTAGGAAATATTTATCAAGCAACTTTCAAATTCTTGTTGTAGGCCAGTGCTATAGAGTAAAGATGAATATTTAAGCTAAATAATAAGAGCACCAAATGTCTTCTTTCATAGAATATTGAAAAAGAAAATTAAAAAACAATGAATGTTGGGGCTGGTGTTGTAGCTCAGTGGTAGAGCACTTGCCTAGCATGTGTGAGGCACTGGGTTCAAATCTCAGCACTGCATATAAATAAATAAAAAATAAAGGTCCATTGACAAAAAAAACAATAACGATGAATGTTGTGCATGTCATAGAAATTAGAGAAAAGCATGAATAAGTATATATATATGTGTGTGTGTGTGTGTGTGTGTATTAACTTCACCACATCTTGAAAACCATTGTTAACATAAATTATCAGTTCTGGGCTGGGATTATGGCTCAGCAGTAGAGCGCTCACCTAGCATGTGTGAGGCACTGGGTTTGATCCTCAGCACCACATAAAAATAAATAAATAAATAAAAGAAAGGTATTGTGTTCAACTACAACTAAAAAAAAATATTTTAAAAAATTATCTGTTCTTACTCCCATTAGAAAAGCAATCATGAATACAAATAAGAATAAATGCTGTGAGATGTGAAAAAAGGTACATTCATTCATTGTTGTTGGGACTGCAAATTTGTAAAACTCTGGAAAGCARTGAGGAAATTTCTCCAATAATTAGGAACGGAACCACCATAAGACCCAGCTACTATACTCCTTGGTATTTATCCAAAAACCTTAAATTCAGTATACTACTTTAATATTAATAGCCACTTTAATATTTCTGGCAKCAAAATTCACAATAGTCAAGTTATGGAATCAGCCCAGATGCCCATTAGTAGATAAAAAGATTAAGAAAATGTGGTGCATATACACAATGGAGGTTTACTCAGCCATAAAGGAGAATGAGATTAAGGCATTTGCCAATAAATAGTTGGAAGTGGAGAACATCATGCTAAGTGAAATAAGCCAAACTCAGAAAATCAAATGTTGAATGKTTTCTCTCTTATGTAGAATGCAAGAATCATCTCTTTGATTCATTGGTTYATCTCCACGGGAACCATATTTCTCACATGATAGGCAATTCATTAAACCAATAAATAGAGAGCATTACAAATGGAACATATGCTAYAGAGAAAAATGGTAACAAGGAAAGGGTTAGTGTACAATGAATGGATTCTTCTAATGAAGCCCAAATGGAAATACTCTGCACTGGGTCTGTGCCAGAAGACCAGTATGGCTGGGGCAGATAAAGCAAGGGYAAACTAGATATCAAATGCAATTTCTTTCTTTATTGTATTCACTATTAATTTTTTTCAGTTTTTAATATTTTTTTGGAAATGTGAGAATATTTTACAGATTTGTAGGCWTGTTTTATATCCTTTATATATCAACTCCTGTTTTTATTATTTTCCTTTTTATTTTTTGTGTCACATTTTACACATTATTTTTATCACATGGATTATATGCACATAGTCTAAAAGTGACAGAGGAGTGACAGTCTTATAATGACAAATAACTGTACTACTTCCAATGATTCCAATCCAATTTCCTGGAGCTGTCTTCATATGCCCTAAGACTTGATTCACTCTTCTACCTTTTATGAGGGATCGGTTATAGGTAACTGGTCCTTATTTATAAAATAATACACAGCCAAGACTTGATTCAACAACTTTAGACTATATTAYTTTATTTGTCCTTATTAATTATACATGACAGTAGAATATATTTTGACATATTATACATATATGGAATATAAAAATCTCATTCTTCTGGTGGTACATGATGTAGAATTACATTGGTCATGTAATYGTACATGCATGTAGGAAACTAATGTCCGATTCATTCTACTATTAGACTTTATTGACTTCCTGTTATAAGAAATGGAACTCCTAGTGTCCTCCCAACCCCCTTTTTTATCTCTCCCATTTTTCCAATATTTTTGTATGCAACTTGGTTTAATTATTGTATCTCAGCAGTACTCTGGTTCTTTTTTTCATTTCTGTGTTGGATGTTTCATGATGATTGTTTCTTTTGTTTACAGTATCTTAGATTAAAATTAACAAGTGCCTCATTTATTTTCCTTAGATGTTTTGTGCACCTCATGATCTTTTCCCCAACATCAGTGTTAACTTCCAGGTGTTGAGTTAGCCAATCCCAAATAACCAAATGCCAAATGTTTTCTTTGATATAACGAGGCTGATTCATAATGGGTTAGRGAGAGGGAGCATGGGAGGAATAGATGAACTCTAGATAGGGCAGAGGTGTTGGAGGGGAAGGGAGGGGGCATGGGATTAGAAATGATGATGGAACGTGGTGATCATTATTATCCAAAGTACAGATATGAGGACACAAACTCRTGTGTATATATTTTGTCTACAGCCAGAGATATGAAAAAATGTGCTCTATATGTGTAATAAGGATTATAATGCATTCTGCTTCCATATATAAAATTTAAAAAATAAATAAAATGCTTAAGCTCATCTCATCTCCCCACCCCAACTTTTCATGGAAGGCCTTCCTGTCAAGGTCTTTGCCATGTGTCTCTACACTTTCCTCTGTAATCTGCCAGCACAGCTGTTTTTCTGGTCCATCCCTTCAGCCAGCATAGAGTGTTAAATCCCTAGTTTCCTAAGCCCTATGACTTCCTGTTTCTTGTTTAAGACTTTTTCTTTCTACATTATCTCTGTTTCTCTTTTTTTTTTTTTTTTGTATATTAGAGACTTTTATCCTTTGTTTGATAATCTTTGGGTCTCCATTAATGTTTAAGAATAAGGCCCTTAAAAGTTAACTTGAAGGTTTATACAAGTGATCCTGATGTTGTAGTCTTCATTGTCAGATGATATGTTCATCATGTTTTACCAGATGTCTCCGTGATGATGTTTGAACTATGGATGTTTTCCAATTTAAGTAGTTAATTTTGTCATTACTTAATGTTTTCTTTCTTACTTGCTCCATTTAGAAAATCCTACCTTAAAATTATGCAGCTATTTATGTGTCTAAACACACACACACACACCCATACACACACACACACACACACACACACACACACACACATATATATATATATATATATATATATATATATATATATATACACCCCTCCACACACACACATACACTCAATCTGGTGTGTTAGAACCTATTTATAGGGATAAGAATCTGAGATACTGATAGAAGTATTAATTTGACTTTGGAAGAAAGAATTTTTTTTAATTTAAAAAGCAAAGATAAAGAATTAATGGTGTTGACTTAGGAGAATATTTATAAAGACAATAGAATATCCAAAAAARTACAATTATATCTTCCAATATTAGTGGATTATTTTTTCTAATTTTCCAGCTTCTATCTTTCATGTACTCATCTTTATCTGTCTTATTTTTCATCTGTGGTTTTTATTACTTTTTCTCTAAAGTTTTCTTGTTCACTTTATCTTCTCATTTTCATTTAAAAAATTATTTTATTTTTGGACTTTGTTATTTCATTTTGCTTCATGGCTATCATCATGTATTTGGGTCTTCTTTTTCAGGGTTCAATAACTGATGCTTTCCCCTATTTTCTACTTCAAAAAGTTTTTCAGTGCTCATGACCTACAACATCACCTCCTTTTTCCTTGATTCTGATTTCAGGGAAACATTATGGCAGACAACAAAAGGAATCCCCATTTCACAGAGAATCTTTTGAAAATCTTCAGGCCTTTTTACCCCTGTCCACAGTTAAGATTCCATGACTCCCAACTGCTGTGGTTGCTGCTTCAAAGAAAACTAATGGCATATATGTTATCCTGTCCCTGACTGCCATGGCTAAAATTGCCTTTGATAGCAGTTATAAGATATTTACTATCCAGTCATATTCTTGGGCTGAACTTTTACCCTTTTTTGGAGCTCTCTTTTTCAATCATTTTCTTTTATTAAAATTATTCAAATTTTACCATAATTTGATTGAAATGTTAGCAGAATATCTGTGCAAACTATACAGAGTAGGCGGGTACTGATACTGCTTTGTTTTAATTGTGTTTTGTCAGTTGGCAAGTCATATTTTGGAATTCTCACATACAAATTTTCCCTTGGGCTACTTCTGACTCAAAATAAAGCAAATTTCAGAAAGTTTCTCTGCCTTAGGTAAATAAACCACATCTCACTAATGATCTATATTACCTTTAAAAAAGAGGTAGGCTGGACTAGGATCTCACATATCAATGTTGAAGTATAAATAGATTTAAATCAGCATATTATATAAGCCAATAGCTTGTTTGCATCTCCCCTCAACCCACCACCTCCAGTGGATGCAAATACCAGAGGAATCCCAGGCACTAGCATTTCTCAATTTGTTGCATTATTTTTAAATGTCTGGTGTTTTATGATTACAAACTAAAAGCCACAAAATTAAATATATTTTAAACAGGAATAGCTAATAGTCAGATAATATTTCATGGATGTGCTCTCCATGACAACAAATCATGAAGCAGGGAGTAGCCAGCCCCTAGGTCCATATCTATTCTTGTCTYTCTCTCTCTCTCTCTCACCTTCTCTCTAGCCAAGGAATTGTGGATATTTTTTACTTTGTGGTAGGAAATAGTTCTTATGCACCATGTATCCTATTCTGTGGCTTACAGTAAAACTCCAAGCACAGTTTTCCAAGTTTTGTGTTTTTTTATAGTTAATATTTAAAGCCAAGCTTTGCTAATTTAGAAAAAGGTTTTATTCTCCCTGGTGTCTGGCTCTAGAAATTTAAAGCCACATTTTTTTTTAAGTGGCAGAGTTAAAGCCACATTTTAAAAGCCATTGTTTCTAAAAGAGTTTTCAAGACTAGTTTTGAAAATCAAGAAAGATTTATGTCAATTATTTCTTTTTCTTTGTATGTACACTCWCCCAGCTCTCCCTAAGGCAAAGATTGCTTCTGGCTCAGGATKGGAAAGATCATTTATAAGCAAGTACAAGAGAAAAA